TTCTGCCTGGGGTGGTCATCCAGGAGTCCTCACTGGTGGTTTTGCCACAGATAGAGAAGAGTTGGCTTTTCAGGACAGGCCTGCAGCACTCACCTTGTGCTAGTCCTGTTGTCCTTCAGCACTTCAGCCTGTGCTGAGTTTGTGTCATGGAACTGATCACCTTGGGGCAGGTCTCAGTTTGTGTCTCCAGAAGAGAAGCAGCTTCACCACTGTTTCCAAAGTGAACAGCTTTGCATCAGTGTTCAGCCAGCATGGTCCTTAGTGTAAGGAAGGAGCTCCCTTCCCCAGGTGATTGCAGGTTACTGAACTTGAGAGCAAGAGCACCAAAATGTCAGTTTGAGCCCTTTTCCTTGATTTTCTTGTCAGGAAAATCTAACTTCCTCTTCTCTAACTGCAGGGTGGCAGGCAGGTGAAGAGCTGTTTTGTTCTTGCACCTTGGCCACACCTGGTCCAGGAGGTGTCAGGGAGAGAGTTCATCTGAAAAATGCAGGCATTGGTTTATTTTGTTGAAGTCTTTTTCTCACTGCATGAGCAGAGTATCTTGAAAGTAGAATGTGACTGTTTACCTGGGATAGAATTCTGTTATTCTTGCTCTCTTCTGGACTTGGCCACAGCCATAGATGCCATAGAGCAATGAGATGATGGGGTGGGATCTGGAGTTACGTACTGGAGTTCTTAGTCAGGGTGGTGACACACAGCCAGCCCTGAGGACACTGTGAAGCTCTTGCCTCTATCAGCTGATAACAGAACACGCTTTGGGGGTGCCTGTGGGGCAGGAGCAAGCTGGTTTAAGCTGTTCCCCAGGAAATTTCGGATGATTTACCCAAAGGGGAGATAGTGAAGCACATGATTGGTGGCTTGTAGCATTTCTAAAAGCATATTCTTCTTTTGAGCTTAAATATGAGCTCTTAATATTTTGGGAGGGATCTACCAAAATTTAATTTTTGACTTCTCTATGATCACTCTTGATATTTACATTTGATTTAATAATGGGCTCAAAAAAAGGCCTTTCAGTCTTTGAAATTAAATTAATGTTGAGGATTTACATGTTGCTCTAAGCTAAAGCTTTTACTGTCAGATGGAACCTGGGGATGAGTTTTTCCCCAGTATAAATGTCAAAGATTTAAAGCAGGGTATTGGTTTATTTTGGTTTACTTGTGGACAAAGGGCATGAAGTCCAGCATCATCAGTAGAAGGAAGCAAGAAATGGTTGGTTTTTGGGATTGGTTTCTTATTTGTGATATTGATGTTTCTTGTTGCTGTAAACACTACTGGAGGTTGGTGTTCTGCAGCAGGAAAGAAAAATAAATTCCTCTTTTAAACCAAAATCAGGAAGATCTGGTTTTGGCCTTGTGACAATTTCTGCCTTTTTGGCAGCGATGGTTGTTTTGCTCAAATACAGAACCCTGGGAGATTTTAAATTGTAACCATTGCAAAGGAAATGAGGAGCAGCATCCACGTGCCAACGGGGTCTGCTTGAATCTCTGAAAAATAGCATTGTTTGCAAGGCAGGTGCTCTGGGGAGGAGGTTTCCAGACACCTTCTGATTCTTGTTCACTGTGCACGTGTCACCCACTGGCCCCAGAGGTTACACACTGGTTTGTGTCATGCTATCAATGATGTCAGAGCACTGGAAGCACAGAAATCAAGAACTAATTAAAGAGCCTCATCAGCCATCTGCTATTTGCCTCCTCCTCCTCCTTCCCAAATCAGCCATCAGGGGGAGGAGACACTCGAGTCAGCTCTCCTTCCAGCAGCTGATGAACTGGAGTGTGTCTTGCCAAACAAACTTCAGCTCAAAAGTACTAATTTATTAAGAAGGTAATTTATTTAGTGCAGCAGCTGGAGCAGGATGCTGGAAGCAGACCCCCCCTCTTGGATGTGCCAGAGGAGGCCCCTGGGAGCTGCTGCACAAATGGAGTTGCTAATAAGCAAACAGAATACAATCATGACTTTCTACTCCTATCCCCTGGGGTCAGATCCCACATAAAGCAACATTGTGTGAATAAAGATTTTAATAAAGCAACATTGATGGATTGCCTAAGTGTCTCTCTCCCTCCCCTGTCTGTCTCTCTGCAGTTCCAACATGTGGTGGGCTGAACGTGTGAAGTGTTTTGCTGCTGTGTCTCCCAGTTCCTCCTCTGCTAATGGCTGTCAGTGGCATTTACTCCAGTCATGTATATCCAAAAAATGCAGATGGTTTGCCAGAGCCTTGTTGGTAAGGAAGGAAGAGTGTCCCAAAGGGATACAGAAATAAAACACACCTAGATTGAGTGTGGTTCTGCCCATGCATCCCATGGCCCTGCATCTGCTGGGCATGGAACCAGGAGCTGGTTCCAGGAGCCAGGGAGGAATGCTGGGTTGTCAGGGGGTCTGTAGAGCTGCAGGTGCTCGTGGCTGCCTTGCTGAGCCTTTACTGGGATGGACAGGTCACTGCTCCCCCAGAGCAGAGCTGGACTCAGGCTGCAGCAGAGCTTTTCCTAGTGCCCCAACAGGGAGTGTTTCAGAGGCAGGAGGTGAGATACTTCTGAATTCAGGGATCTTTGACCTGCCCTGTAGCATCAAATGGTGGTGTGAAACCTGTTTTGCTTTAAACTAGAGTTTCTCACTGAAACTTCAGATTTCAACATTGTTGAGTTCTGTAAGAAGTGCTTTCTGGGGTTTATTTTGAGGGTTTTGTGGGGGAGGATGTTCTGGGATTTTTTGTTTCCTAGCATTGTGTGCTGGCAGTAACTTTTCCTTTCCACCATCTCTATTTTTGAGGTGCCAGTTTTCTCAGGGAGCAGGACAGGATTCTTGCTTGTGTATGAACAATTCAACAGCTACAGATGCTTTTAAGTTCTGACAGGCAGAAACTGGCAGTTGAGAGCTGTTGTTCCAAGCACTTTGTTGTGCTGCTGCTCTGTATTTTTGGAGTGGTTTGCCACAGTAACAGAGTGAGAATTTGTATAACTGGGAGATTTTAGTGTTTCTGATTATGTAATGAATGTACTTTTACAAAAGAATGAACACAAACAACTTTGAGCTAATGGAGGACCAAAGGGGGTTGAAAAGAAGCACTTTCCCTTAAGTCCTCAAATCCTTTCCCTACAAAAATTTTACTGAATCTGAAAATTAGGAAAAGAAGTCCTTAGTTCACATATCCCAAGTGTGGAGCTGGTGATTGGTTCTTTGTAGAATCTCAATATTTTTAAGAGACTGGGGATAGATAGGGCTTTGTGGGGGAAAAAGGAAGGAGGGGAAAGGACTCATACCCTTTATTTTAGATCTTTCTTTTATTTAGTGATCCAATCCTTAGCTGTTTTATACTGAGCTCTGGAGAGAGGCTCTTCTCCTCCTGCCTTCTGTCAGAGCACAGAAGAAAATGCTCTATGAGAATGGGGAAAAAAACTAAAAGATGGGTGCATGGCATTTCCCTGGAGAGCCTGTAAATGAAATTCTGGACTGTGAGGTTCCCTCTGAGTGTTTGCTTGTCCCAAGCTGCACTGGGGTGTGGAATAAGCCACGCATAACCATTTCTTGTGGTGCTTTTTCTCTTCAGAGGGCAGCTGAGCTGAGCTGAGGTGAGGTGGTGGAGCCTTAATCAGGAGCTTGCTGCTGACCAGGACTGACTGCCTGGAATAACCAGCTGTGAGTGACAAGCTGAGCATCCTCCCATCAGCTGTGGGGCTGTGCAGCTGCCTCTGCTGCCAGCCTCACCTCAGGATCAGCAAACTGCACTTGGGGTTTCAGCAGAGCAAGGGAAAACCCATGTGCTTCCTATCCCCCTTCAGAGAATCCCAGAATGACTGGGGTTGGAAGGGACCTTAAAGATCCCCCTGTTCCAAGCCCCTGCCATGGGCAGGGACACCTTCCACCAGACCAGGGTACTCCAAACCTCATCCAGCCTGGCCTTGGACACTTCCAGGACTGGGGCAGCCACAGCTTCTCTGGGCACCCTGGGCCAGGCCCTCCTAAAGAGCTGGTTTTCCTTCTGGCTCCGACTATCTGCTGCACTTGGGCAGGGCTGACATCCCAGGAATTATACCCTGAGCTAGTGCAGTGTTGGACAGTCAGTTTATCCTTCAAAATTTTCTTTTTTCCTTTGGAACATGTAGCATCTATTTTTTATGGCATCTGTCCCTTTTAATAAGCCCTTTTCAGCTAGAGCAGTTATCCTGGGTGGGCAAAGTTTGAATGTTCCAGCTATGAATTTTTTATAAATCTGTATAAATGCTTGAGGTACCTCAACTAGTTTTTAGAAAGGCTGACAGCAGGTTTTTTGTTTTTTGTTTTTTGTTTTTTTTTTTTGCTATGGTTACAGCAAGTTTGATTTACATTTATTTCTTTAATGCATTATTTTTAGCTCTGTTTAAGTTGTTGCAAGTGGAGTTCAGGTCTCGGCCTCACTGTTTTTGTAGGTGAAGGGGCCGTTTTGTTGGTCCCAGTATGTGAAACGCTGCTGTGTAATATTTGCAGGCACCTGTAGATGGTGATGCGCTCTGCTCCACGCCTGGGCTGCATCCCCCCTCCATCCACCTGGACCAGGCAACTACCGGGCTGGATTAATTCTATTTATGATCCTCCTTACTTTTATTTTTCTGAGCGTGTGGGATAACCTTGAAATCCTTTCTATTTCCAAAGCCTTTTGGCCTTGAGCTCAAGATATCAGGACGGCAGGCAGCCAACGCAGCCTGGACAGCCCTGCTGCTCCCCCGCTGCTCCCTTGTTTTTATTTCCTCATCTTTTATTTTTGTGTCCCCTTTGAAAGGACACTGAGGAACAGCTGCCTCAATGTCCTTTTCTCCTATGTCTGCGGCTGCACAACCTCAGCCGAGCCGCTGGGCAGTTTAAAATCCAGATCATTGCCTTCCCCAGGCGTTCGTTGCCGGTGCCGCAACTCTGTGGGAGGCGGTGGCCGGGAGCCTCCCCAGCCCTTCCCCTCACGGCCGGGAGCCTCTCCGGGCCCTCCCCAGCCCTTCCCCTCACGGCCGGGGCGGGCCGGGCCCGGGGCGGGGCCGCAGCCGCCGCTGGCCCCGGGTTTGGCTTTTGTCGCGTCCCCGTGGCTGCGACGGCGACAGGGCAGCCACGTCTGGCCAGGGCCGGCACCGCCCGCGGCTGCTCCCAGCAACGCCTCAGGAAGGGAGGGCGGCTCGGGCCAGGCCGGCCGCGGGGCCCAGCGGGGCCGGGCCAGGCCCACTCCATTACCGGGCCCTCTCCATTCCCGATCCCTCATCGCTGCCATGGGCCCGGCCGGGCTCCCGGCCCCCCGCGGGCTCGGCTGCTTTGTGCTGGTGCTGCTGTTGCTCCTGGGCGGCTCGGGCAGCCCCGGGACAACGCCACCGCCCCGGGCGCCCTGGGCAGAGGAGCAGGGAGCCGTCCCGGAGGGGGCACCGTGGGGCAGGGTGAGGTACGAAGCCGTGAAGAAGCATCTGGGAGCTCTCTCCAAGCACTACTGGCAGTACCTGGCGTGCAAGGTGTGGCAGGAGGGCTGCGAGGAGGAGGAGAAGCAGCAAGGAGAACGAGAGGCCAGTCCCATCCCGGGTAAGCGCCTTGCTCTGCTCTCTCCCGTGCCCCGGAGGGAACAGCAGATCCGGACCTTGCTGTGGCCCCGGCTCCTGGGGCGCTTTCCTACCTTCCCGAGGTGGCTGCCCCGGGCATCTCCCTCCTTGGCACACCCCGGGATGAGACGCTTGCACTTCTTGGGCACTCGGAGCCATCTCGGGCTGCTGCCAATTCCGAGCTCACTGTCCCTCCCCACAGCCAGGGCTGCCCGCAGGGACATGGTTGAGTCGCTGCACCTGGGAGAGGATTGCCGTGAGTCCAGAATGTAAAAAAGCCTTTCCTGGAACTTCTCTGCTCATTCTGCACCCGTTTCCAGGCTGGGGCTTTCCTCTGGTGGGCCAGGACTACCTGGAGATCCTCTCTGCCTGGTACTGCAGCTTCGGCAAGTGCTGTGAGACAGGAGACTGCAGGATCATCAACAACATCACAGGTAGGGGCTGTGCTGCTTTGTGGCTTGTTTTGAGGCTTTTTCCCTGTTAAAGTGTATTCTAGAACGTTAGTAAAGGGCTTTTCTGAGTGGGGTGCTGAGCTGTGGGAGGGTGAGAGGCTGAGCTCAGTCCTGTGTCCCATTTGAAGTTCTGAGACCAAAGAGTTTGTTCCTTACTGCATAAGTGTATCTGCTCCAGCTTGCCATGAGTCCTGCCTGCATCCCATAGCTTCCAGGCACATATAGCGGGATCCAAACTGGCTCAGGACACTGCCCTAGGTCGGGAGGGCACACTGAGACCTGTGTGTAAGCCATGAGTAGGTGTCTTTGTGTTTGCTGTCCCTGAGAGTCCTGGGATGCAAACCCTGCACTGGGAGCTTGGGAGGGCCTTTGGGCATCGGTGCTCTCTGCAGCTGCCAAGCATCTCTGCCTTTTCCTAAAGGAAAAAAGGAGTCAGTGGAAGATTTGTGTCTTTTTGGGGCCAGAGGCTGATGTAGGCAGGGCACAGGCAGCCTGTCCTTTAATGCCACTTCACAGTCCCCTTGGCCAGGCATCCCTGCCAGGTTTTCTCCTCTTACCCCCACGTGCAGTAGCAGTGCTGGCAGGTGGAGCTGAGCCTGTGCTCTCTGTGCAGGGCTGGAGGCAGAGCTCAATGGGCAGCTGCACGGGCAGCACCTGGCCAAGGCCGTGGTGCTGCGGGCGGTGCAGGGCTTCCTGCAGAGCCCACGGCCCCCCAAGGCTCTGGTGCTGTCCTTCCACGGCTGGTCTGGCACGGGGAAGAACTTTGTGGCTCGCATGGTGGCCACTCACCTGTTCCGGGACGGGCTGAGGAGTGACTGTGTCAGGGTGTTCGTGTCCCTGCTCCACTTCCCACACCACAACTACGTGGACTCCTACAAGGTGAGAGCCAACAGCAGGGGTGGTCCTGTGGGCTGGGCTGGAGTTCATGTCCATGTGGGGCTGTGCCTTGGGTTTATGGGTAAAACTGGGTCCCACAGCACTGGCTGGTCACTGCTGAGCAGTGCCTGCACAGCCTCAGGGCTTCCCCCCTCTCCCACTCAGCCCATGAGCTGAGTACAAGGAGTTTGGGACACACCAAAGAGCTGAGTCCTAGTGCCAAAGGGATATCCCATGTGCTGCCATGCTCAGGAGTAAAAGCTACAGGGAGGGGTTTGGGGGCAGGAAGCCATTGCTCAGAGATGGGCTGGGCATCAGTCTGTTAGTGGCAGGGGGGTGGCTGCCTTTGCACCACTTGATGTCTTTCTTTCCTCTTTCTTTCACTTATTAAACTAATGAATCTCACCTCACTCGTTTTCCTGCCTTTGCTCTTCCTGTTGTCTGCCCTGTCCTGCTGGGTGGGAGGGGATGGAGCAGCTGTGGGGTCCCAGGGGATGCCAAGGTTCCTGAGTGCCCTCCCTGCTGCAGGCCCAGCTGCAGAGGCAGATCAGCGAGACCCTGCAGCGCTGCAGGCAGGCCCTGCTCATCTTCGACGAGGCCGAGAAGCTGCACTCCAACCTCCTGGATGCTATCACACCCTTCATGGCTCAGCACACCAGCAAGGGCCAGGCAGATCAGCAGAGATCCATCTTCCTCTTCCTCAGGTGATTTCTGGTCCCCAACTAATGGTGTTTGTCCCCAGAGGTGTGTGATACAAGGGGCTGGGGTGGCAGGGAGGGCACAGGTACCTCATTCCCTCGTGGTGGTTGCCTCCATGTTCAGTTTTACCTGTGGATGCTGGGCATCCTCCCTGGGAACATCTGCAGGAGGAGCTGAGGTCCAGCTGGGCTGGGACACCTGAGCCAGAGTCTAGATTTGGAGGCAAGGAAGCACAGTCAGTTAACACAGTGTCACCCTGCCCAGCTGGGCAGATGTCACATCCAGGGAGCAGAGCTGGGGCTGAAGGCCTTGGTGGGAAGTTGCCGTGCATTGTGAGGAGCTGGGGAGCTCCCACTGCCTGGCTGTGGCTGCAGACTGAGGTGCTGTGAGGCTGATCCTGGCATCAGCACAGCCTGGTTTACTTGGTTCCTTTCCCAGGAAGTGCACCCCAGCACTGTCTGTGTGGGATGCAGCTGGAGGGAGAAATGGGACATCTCAGAACCAGGATGTGAGGCAGGCACCTGACTGAAGTGCCCCTAAAGAGTGAGAGATCAGGATCAGCATCTTGGGCCTCCTTCAGTTTGGGAATTGCAGCCTTGGGCTTGGCTCTGGCAGGGCTGTTCCTGGTGGTTGGAGGTGAGCAGAGCATTCCTCCTCCACTTCCACCATCCAGGCAAGGGTTCCAGCCTCCCAGCTCGGTGCTTCCCTCAGAGAGGTTTCCCTGTGTGTGCCCAGTGCCTGTGGAGCTCCCCTCACTCTGGTCCCACCTGTGTGCAAGGGGCTGTGGCGCAAGGGGCAGCCCCTGCCCTGTTGCTCAGCAGGGGTGGACGTGGCCCAGCTGCACAGGGCAGGTCAGGAATGTCACAGAGTCAGCAGGCAGAGGGGAGCAGGGGGCCCTGAACTGCAGCAGTGTCACCCCAGGGGTTTCATCACTGCTGTGGCAGCGTGACACTGACCTGCTTTAGCAGGGATGGCTGTGCCCCAGGGCTGCTGTGGACACTGGCACAGTCCTGCACATGGGGTGGGGCTGGCTGCCTGTCCAGCCTAAAGGGGCTCTGGGTTGGGAGCAGGATCAGTACAGGCTGTTTTCTCCCTGTTTTCTCCCTGACACTGGGTGGGGGCATGGTGGGAAACAGTGGTGGCTTTTCAATTTTCCCTGCCTTCAGTTTGGGGTCCAGAGCCTCTGACAGGAGGGTGGGGTGCAAGATCTGTGCCTCCCACTGCCTGTCTGCCTCCCACCCACACTGCATCCAGCTGGTTCCCAGTTCACTGGAGCATTTGGGGCTTGGGACAAGCCCCTCACCAGCACTTGGTCCTTTCCTGGACCTGCTTTCCAGGATGAAGGGCTGTCCTGGGACCCTCAACAGCTGCAGGACCTTGCAAACCCCACCCCAGAGCTGCCCCCATGGGTGTCCAGAGGAGCCCTTAGGTGGGAGCTGTGTTGCTGCTTTGTCCCATGGGCAGAGGATGCTGTGCCAAGTCCTGGGCTGTCACTTGAATCCCTGTCCTGGACCTTTACTTCCAGTGGGACTCCTGCCACGTGCTCTGCCCTTTAATCTGGACTTTGTGGTGGCTTGTTCAGCGTTTGGTGTGGAGCCAGGTGTCACCTGTGAGGTTGATGGCTTCCCAAGCCAGGACAGGGGTCTGAGGGAGATGGAGGATCCTGCTGCTCCTGGCAGGATGGCAGAATGACAGACAGCTGCAGGGATGCCTGTGGAAAGGGGCTCTTTGGGAAGAACACTGGCCCTCCATGTGCTGGTCCTAGACAGCAAATCCTCTGTTGCCAACAGCACTGCTGGGGCCTGCCTGCAGGGAAGGTGCTGGCAGCTCTCTGGGGGAAATCCTGAGTGACCTCCCTCTGTGTCCACAGCAATCTTGGTGGCAACACCATCAATGAGGTGGCCCTGGAGTTCTGGCGAGCCGGGCGGGCGCGGGAGGAGATCCCGCTGGAGCTGCTGGAGCAGC